TAGTAGTAGTAGTAGTAGTAGTAGTAGTAGTAGTAGTAGTAGTAGTACTAGTGATCATCGTCGCCGTCGTAGTCGTCGTTGTCGTCTCTTCCAACTAACATATTGTTTGTTCATTTCTCTTATCAGTTCATTTCTCTTATCAGTTCATTTCTCTTCTGTTTCTCTTTGATCCAAACAGATCGAACTTTGGCGATCTGGATGAGCCTTGAACACCGACGGCATTACATGCTACAAGTACAGTATTGCTTGACAAAGAGTTCATGCCCCCAAAATGCCGACAAAACAGAAAACAAAGTCTTGGACAACATCCACCGGATGCCAATACTACATCACAACAAATCAGGTTGCCCCATCAAAACACAAAATGCAACAAGTAGGTGGACTTGTTGAGGAATAGAAAGATCTTTGCCACACTCATTGAAGCTTTGATGAGCTTTGATGACCTTCCCCTTCTCCATACCCAACGAACCCCCTGATGTAAGTCACACAACGTGTGAAACAAGCTGTGTCCCCTAGTGTGGATCATCCCTCTTATGGTCTGGAAGAAGGCATAAAGCGGTTCGATATTTGTCATCTACCCTGCTTTGAAGCAGTCATTGATGGACAAAAAATTGCAGGCAGCCAAATTGGCTACAAGCCTGATCCCAGGAGCTGAATAATCAAGTTGCCCTCCAATCAACCTGATGGAATCTTGAAATGAACTCAGCATGGCTGCAACAATCATAGCAATAAGTACAACCATACAAGAGGGATAATTAAAAGATAAACGAGCTCTGTTCAAGCTTGACCCTTGAATTTGAAGGCAACGTTACAACGACCGCTGCTGGCATCAGCGGCCTAGCACTTCAGAAGGCCTCTGGTGCACTCGAATTCCCTCCGAAATTCCGTCCAACGAAGGCACAAGTCGAGCTTTCTCTGGTCGGAACCCGTTCAAGAGCAGCCAGATCTTCTTGGACCCTGGAATTTGGTGGACAGTAGCTTCTTCTACCAGAAGCCATCCACCATGACC